TGCCCTGACTTAGATCAGCCCAGAGGTTGTTGCAAGGTATCAATAAAATTTGATAATTTTCTTATTGAAACTTATTATCTTTTCTCCTGATGATTTTTTCATCAGATGACATGTTATTTGCTGGTACAAATCTCAAGTCTTTATGAATCTGATGCCACAAAACCAACCACACAAGTCAGTGCTCCAAAGGTATTTGCTTTATTATTTCTATGCATTGATTAATGTATCTATAGTGTATGCAAACCTCTCTTGGATGGAAAGGAACAGAGTAAGGTATATTGTGTAGTTCCAGAAAATATCCCTCCCTAATGGAGGAGGATTACAATTTCCAAGGGGTTGGGAGTGTCTGAGGAGGGTATATTGTGTAGTTCCAAAAGATATTCAAACCTCCCCCACGGAGGGGAATTTGGAATTTCCAAGGGGTGGAGAGGGTAAAATTGAATCCTCTCCATGCTAGACAGATAGTTTATTGATGTGCTTGTAATATTGATAATAGCTCATTTTGTCTTTATTATCTAGGGACGGGGAAAGTCTTGTGCTGCATCAAAGAAAAAATCAACATCAAAAAGCTTTGAGTGGGATTCCGAGAGAGATAGAGTTATAGAACTACTGGGTCACGTGTTGCAACTGGACATTAACAGACTGTGGGATCCCCCCATAGTAGAGGAGGAATTTGTAAAGTAGGTTTGAAAACCAGGATTTAGCAGCTGTACCACATAGTTTTCTATGTGATAGTTATAATAATAATATAATAATAATATCTTTATTTACCCTGATAAAAGCCGATCAGCTGGACATATTGAACAGCTGGTATGAACCGGTGATCAGCAAACTACATTTTAAACTACTACTATAATATATATATTCTCTGCAATAGTTACATGTGTGATACCCCACTCTATTGATTGAGAGTGGACCAGTAGCAATATGCATTTATGCAAAGCCCTAATGGAGACCTACCACACAAAGGAAGAATGGGTTTATTTTGTGATGTAACTTTCAAGATATATACACCAACTTGCAAGAATGTTGACATATGAAAATAGAACATTAGTGATTTAGTGGGATAGGAATTATATTAAAAAACAAAAGAAGATCACTGAAGCTGAACTTTTTCTTTTGTCTTTTAATGTATTCCTTTCTCACTAAATCACTAATGTTCTATTTTCGTATGTCAACGTTCTTGCAAGTAGGTGTATTCAGTATTAAACAGTTCTAAAATGGTTTCTCTAAAATGTAAAAATTATAAAGGAATTTATGTTATAAAAATTGTAATTTAAAGTAACTAATTGTAAATTGTTGTTGTTGTTGTTTGTTTCAGCAAAAAATAATGTACTGTTATATTTTCTATTTTTTCAGCCTCGTAACTGGATTTTGTTACAAACTGCTTGAAAATCCTGTCGTAACGAAAGCTAAAATTACAAAGGATTTAGTTTTCAATATGCTCGGAACTGTTGTTAAGAAATACAGCACAGGACTGAGTAAGTTGATCTATTCACTTGTGCTACTTGTGTTATCTGTTTTGTGGATCCCCGAACAACAGTTACTGTGAGTAGGAAAAAAAACAACTAGTCTTCTATTCAAAAAATTTGTAGCAAAAAAAAAAAGATTTTTACTATTTTTAGGAATCTCTCCCAGACACTCATTTTCTTACTCCCTGCCTTGCATGTTCTGGGGTTCATAACCTGTGATACRAAAACATTTCTCACCTTGCTCTTACTGCAAACACATTTGCGCATCCACTACAGACTTGAGCAGTGTTGTTACCCATGAAATAACGAAAAAATATGATAAATAAACAACTCCTGTACAGATATTCTACACAATAATCTGTATGGATAAAACTATGTGTACCCTACATGGTGGACACACCGTATGACAAAACGTTCTTTGCAAAAGAACTCTTTCAAGTGCAGTTCTGACACATGCGCGTGTACCCAAACCCCACCCATCAAGTCACCTCTCTAATCTAAGTCAGGTCACAGATAAACCAGATAACCTTCAAATCAAGAGAGGTCCATAAGGAGTACAGTGGGGATGGGAATTTCTCATACTAATCAAAAATAAATTAGATATGAATACTCTCCATATTCCTACTGTATAACTGCAACAGGTACAAGTCTGAAGATAGTGCAGCTTATTCAACACTTTGAGCATCTTGTTCCTCACCTGTCACAAGCCGTCGACCTCATCGCCACTGAGTTTGGGGTCAAGGGCATTGTAGCAGAAATTATAAGGTACTGATCAGAAACATTTGAAATCTTCTAGGGTGGATCACAGGGCATGACTAGACCTCAGTTTTATCATAACATTGAAACAACGTCAGGTCTCATGAGAGTAACTCACAGATTGAGCCCTGCAACAGCCTCAGGGTTGATCTAAGTCAGTGTACAGCTAACTCACAGATATAGAACCCTGAAAGAACCTCAAGACTGATCAAAGTCAGGGCACTGCTAACTCACAGATATAGAACCCTGAAACAGCCTCTGGGCTGATCAAAGTCAGGGCACAGCTAACTCACAGATGGAACCCTGAAACAACCTCTGGGCTGATCAAAGTCAGGGCACAGCTAACTCACAGATTGAACCCTGAAATAACCTCTGGGTTGATTTACATGTAAGTCAGGGCATGGCCAACTCACAGATAAAATAAAGATGATTTTTTAATTCTAGGGAAATTGGAATGATGAATCCAGCAGATCTCACCAAGGATACCAGTGGAACAAGAGCATATGCTGATTTCATTGTTGACCTGACCAGTAGAATCCCTTCACTAGTTCTCAATAACATTAGTTTGCTAATCTGTCATCTTGATGGAGAGGTGAGGAGTAATTAATTAATTAATGAAAAAATCAGTCACATCAATGTCAGGCAGAGTTGCCTGTTAAATACATCATGTAGTATGGTAGTATACTGTATACTGTAGGTAATAGGACTACAGTACATGCTGTCCAATTTGGAAATAATTGGATGAAAAAAAATTCCTAGGACTGACAAAATTGGAAGAGTCGGATAGGCCAAGTCCAATTTGGCAGTCAGAGGAATTTTTTGGATTCAGTAATTTCCAAATTGGACAGACATGTAGTCCTATTGCAGATTAATTATATCATCCCAAACTATACTATACTGATTCCGTAAGTCATAGTTTTCACTCGAAAGAATGTGAATGGAAATGATCCAAATTAACCTTTAATTTGGACAGGAAAGAGAATTTGAAAATAATATGATAGTTGCTTATATGGGATTATAGAGTGATGATACAATTAGTTATGTAATTAGCTCAGTCATACCTTGTTTCTGGCTCAACATCACTGGTCAAAATGGTGAGCAATATTACTGCAAACCTTATCAAATTCTGGCCAGACATTGTTTGGTAACCGGCTGTAATTCTTTAGCCCAAGTTAGTTTAACCCTTATTTACTTTTTTCTAACTTTGTTTTTCCCCAGTCATATTCAATGCGTAATGGTGTACTCGGTGCAATGGGAGAGATTGTCCTTAAGGTTCTCAGTAGTGGTGAACTGGATGATAATGCCAAGAACCTGAGAGACCAGTTCCTGGACAAACTAGAGGTATTTGAATCTGTCTTTCCCATACTACAACAATGGAGTATATCTCTATTTTGTGTAGAATATTAGGTAGTGCACATGCCCTGATTGGTTGATAGCTGTGCTGTACAGTATTAATGGAGCATGGTTGCTGAGTCAACGGCAATTGCACGCAGCCATCTTTACAAAACTAAGAAGTGAAGAGAGCAGCATAGAAAACAAAACTACGATTTGTTTTTTTTATATAATAAAAATAATAAACACACACATATAGAGCAGTTTTCGTATGACTGTGAAAAGCTCAGTGCCGTTAGCGTGGCGTGCCGTTACCATGATGCTTTCTAGGATTTTAATTGGCTGATTTTCTTCACACGCAATGTGATTGGTCCAGCATGGATGTGGCCGTGTCCAAGCCATGTTCATGTCATGTTTCGAGTATTTGATTGGATAGAGAGTAAATTCTCGTGTAATGTGATTTGTCAGGCGTATCCCTTGCCGTGTCACGACCGTGTTGATGCCGTGAACTTTTCACGGTCATACAAAAACTGCTCTCTATATATACTGTGTCATGTAATATAAATGTACTGTACTATTATTACTCTGCTTGGGTCGTAAGAAATTACCATAATAAATTATTAATTCGTTTAGGATAATTTGTATTCCTCCAACAGGCACACCTCCATGATACCAATGCTTATGTACGCAGCAAAGCTCTACAGATTTGGTTACAGCTGTGCAATAACATGGCAATACCCTTACCAAGGCAACAACACCTGCTAGAGTTAGTGATAGGCCGATTACATGACAAGTCCAGCAGCGTCAGGAAATATGCCGTACAACTGCTGAAGTGCTTCCTCGTCAATAACCCATTTGGGGCAAAAGTAAAATACTGTTTACAATGATTTGATAAATTTGATTAATTATAGCTGTAGTACATATATACATCAATTGACTAGTCCAAAGTAGGTTGAGACGTAAATTTTTGAACTACCCTTCCACAGACCCTCCCCAACCCCCTGGGAAATTTGATCCCCCCTCTATAATGGTAAAGCCATGTCATCAGACATGCCGTTATCTATTTACTGTACAGATTCTGTGATTAGGGGTTCAAAGTCATTTTTTAAAGGAATGGTTTGTATTTCCCATTCAGCTGCCTCTTGATCACTTGAAAGGAAAGCTGACCGTAGAAATGGAGAAACTAAAAGAAATGGCACCACACCTGACACAAAAGTCTGACAACCAAGGTATGTGCTCTTTGAGCCGGCATAGATCAGTAAGTACATACTTTTTCCCCAGCCTCTTTTGCAAGTTTTTTTTACTTTCTTTAATTTGTGTAATAAAAAGTGAGGAGAGGTTGGTGAGAGAGGATGCTAGCTCATATTTATATTTAATAGTTATTATTATTGGTGGAGATAATGGAGTTGCCGATAAGAAAAGCAAAAGCAGAGCCTCACCCACCCCTCTCTCCCATAAAAAAATACATTCAAAATCAAACTGTCTGTCTATCTCTTCATAGTACCGGTTGTTCTTGCATGTGCTGGTGAAACTTGGAAAGCAATAGAGCCTGAGGTGAAGGCAACTGTAGAGGAATACATTGCACAAGAAGATGAAGAAGATAATGATGATGAACAGACAGACGAATCTGAACCAAAAGCATTAACAATGTAAGTGGCAAAGATAAGCTAATTGTAATTGAATTATCTTTTGCCTGGGTTATAAAAATAGCCTCTATTTATAATTTATATATAATATATATTGTATAGAATAGATTTTATAGTGCTGATATTAGTTGATGAGGTCATGCATTCAATTCACTGTAAACATCATGAAAAATAATAAAACTCATAAAATTTTTGAAAAGCATGACGTTCAACTATAACTAGTGATAGCCTTCATCAGAAAGACCACAGCTACAATATTTTACAGGATCACAACAAGGTTTATTATCATAATATAATTCTAAGGCTACTTGTTATGCTATTACGTATAGGACTTTGAAGGAGATAAAGCAGCTGCTAAATGAAGGATACCACAAGAAAGCACTAACAACATTGAAGAAAGCCCAGAGAAAGTGGCCCAATGAAGCCGTTCTCCATGCCGATACAGTGAACAAAGGAAATCTGTTGTATGTATCTTGTGTAACCATAGTTACTAGAGGGAGGCCCCCGCCTCTATTATTTATGGTGTAATATATTCTGGAATGGAATTTCAAACATAAGGATCAAGGTAAAAAAGGATTTAATCTTTTATTTCAGTGAAGAGGAGAATGAATCAGAAGAGGTAGACAAGGATAAATTGGTTGCAGAAGAGCTGTCTATCTTGAAGGCGATCTTTTTGGGTTAGTAGCTTATGGTGTGAGAAGTTTTTCTTATGATGATGATTTTCTCTTCATTGTAATTATTCTTCTTCCTTCCTTCCTTCCTTCCTTCCTTCCTTCCTTCCTTCCTTCCTTC